ATCCCCTCCCTCGCCCTGCTGCCCACGCTGCTCTGGATGCAGCCCAGGAGGCCATTGGCTTTCTGGGCTGCCAGCGCACGTTGCTGGGTCATGTTCAGTCTTTCACCCACCAGCACCCCAAGCCCTTCTCCCCAGGCCCAACTGTGTATTTGAGTAGATCTGATATACTTTTGTCATTTACATGAAATTAATGTTAATAACATTGATCTCCTCTGATTCCATCAATTAAACTATAGGCAGCCCTTGCTTTTGACAGTGTACCTCTACATCAGGTGTATACATCCACCGTACTGGGAGTGGTTAAGTCTCAGACAGATGGAATCATCGCTAGGAATGCTAACACACACTTTAACCAGCCCAAGAGGGCAAGGAGTAGTAATGTATGCCTATTGTAGTTCAGACCGGTGGTTTATATGAGAAAAAAATGCTTCAGTTACTGAAGAGTTGTATAAATCTGAGTTTTGGGGTTTTTTTCTCCCCCCACTGCTCTGGCTTTTTTTGTAAAGATAGCAGGAAACAAAATCAGCCTCTACACAGAGCAAAGAAACATTAGAGACCTGCTAAAATTCTCATCTATTCTACTAGATTTCTCGTCAAAGACGTTAAAATCCAAATTTGACACTATAGGTCATCCTTAAAGTATCCATGTGCTTCAGTTTTAAGACTGTTTGAAGAGGATTTGCTGATCAGTCAGCATGTCAGACTGCATTTTAATGGGGCTGTGACAAAGAAATCCCTCAAAGATGTGGTAAAAGAAGTGTTGTGCGATCCCTTGCAAATGTGATTCCTGTAGTGTACTTGGATTTCCCAGATTTCCATTTGTTAAGGTCCTGTACCAGTGGTCTTAAAAGAAACGAAGCTACAGCAGGGTGAGAAGGTTGGATTTCTTGCAGCTAAAGGTAGAAAATGGAACACAACCGAATGACCAGAAGGCCCAAGTGAAGTATTTGTGTTGGTGTCTGCACTGTACTGTGCACATCCAGAAGTGACCCGGAAAAAAGGTGAAAAACCTTTAAGGTGTGGCAGTCCTGAATGAGACTGAGTAGCTACAATCGAATTACTGTTTGTCAGATACAGGCAGCGGGACAGACACCAGAATTTTAAGAGAAAAATATATCAATATATCGTAGTTATGGAGTGATCTTGAAATGTCACCTATTCCCTTACATACAGACATGTATGTGTCTTCACAAAGCCGTAGCTCTTCAGTGCTGGTGGCCCTTGGAGCAGGTTCAGTGATGCTGAGGCGTGCCAGCTGGTAGGGCTGCTCTGCCTCGTGTTTCCCAGCGTGGGAGCACGAGTCGCTGTAGCAGAAACCTTTCACGTTGTGCTGAGGTAGGTGATACCTACGCATGCTGACCGTGACAGTGGAGAACAACACATACCAAAACCATGGTCAGTTTAAGTAGTAAATCATTCTTCCCCTTCTTCCTTTCACTTTTTTTATATTTTGGGGGGGTTGTTTGGGGCATGGTCAGTTTAAGTAGTAAATCATTCTTCCTTTCACTTTTTTATATTTTGGGGGGGTTGTTTGGGTTTTTTTTTCAGAATCATAGAATCTTTTTTTAGAATGGTCATAGAAACATTGAATCATGTCAGTTTTTTGCTGGAGAGTGGAACCAAGTAGTTTAATGGCTGAAGCAACTTTTCTGGCATGACATTGAGTGACTGAAACCGAAGAGGAGAAATGTAATTTAACATAACATCACGTCATCCACGAAGTTCTTTGTTTTCTTCCAGGTAACGAACAAAAAGCCTATAACAGTACTTGACATACTTGAAAAAATCCGCCTGCACGTCTCCGTGCCACAGTGTGACGTGTTTGGATACTTAAGCATAGAGTCCGAAATTGTGATTCTCATCATCCCTGTGGATCAGAACCCCAAACCGCTGCAGGTAGACTGTCTTGTTCACCCAGCATGGATTTACTTCGTTTTCTTTTGTGTACGCTTTACTGTTTTCAACACAGCAGTTCCAAAACTGTACGTTTTCCTGTGTCCTGAACACGTGGGAATTTCTCTGGTGACTGGGATCTGCACAGCTGGGGTTACAGATGGTGAAGTGGGTCTTGAGGATCCTGCTTTTCTGGTCGGAGGCTTTTGTGGTGGGCAATTAGAGGGGGGAGGCGAAGGAAGGCCAAGGATAGAGTAGTATGATTTTTCTTTTTAAATTAATAAATGCAGAACCCTCAACTTCCTGTGGCTGAAATAACAGAAAATATAAACTGATGAAAATAAGTAAATTACTGAATGACCTGTTAAATCAATATTAATCGTATATTAATGCATGCTTGCATAGGAAATGGTATCCCTTTGTCCCCAGCGTCACGGTTAAAAGTAGATCGAAGCAGATGTGATATTAAGCTGAAGCACATCGTGCATATTCATTTCATATTAATACATTGTGCACAGCTCAGTGTTAAGCTGTAGTTCGTACCAAAGAGGATCTGTTGATACTATTCGGAGACCATCCTGGTTTTGATATTCCCTTCCACCTTATGGTACAAAGTGCTGGGAGATCCCCAAATGCTATTACGACCTGAACAGAAAACAACCTTCCAGTAAGGTGCCGGGCTTGCTGGGTCAAAGCTAGCTCCCGCTGGCAAACAAGAACCTACCATTCCCAGTACTCAACTCTAAAGGTAACCAACGGTGCAGCTCAAAGGTCTCCCAGTGTCGTCTTCGGTCAGTTCAGAGCCCTTGGCTGTGGTTGCAGTAGTGTTGTCTTGGAGCTCTTAAAGAGCTTCGGTTGTACTTTGTGCTTGTTAACCCGTGCAAGGCCGCTGAGGACATCTGCTTCCCCTTCAAAGGCACCTCGTTCTGGCCACGCTGCCGCTTTTTCTAACGGTCTCGCCTGGCCCTGCTGGCAGCGCTGTGTGGCGCAGCCCCGTGGCAGGGGAGCTGCTCTGGCTGGTTCGTTCCGTTCCCCGACAAGGTGTGAGCGAGTGTAGAATGGAGGGCTGAGCTCTGAACGGGAAGGGGAGAGCCGGCCTGCCCACCGCACTGCTCCTTGCTGGTACGAACAATTCAGGCGGGTTCATTTCACGTCGATGGCTGCTTCGCGTTTCCATTTTATTTCTACAGTCTAATTTTGCGTTGCCTCTGCGACGGGCTGGACGCAGGCTGTGGTGTGAGGGGACAGAGCCACTGCCCTAAACTTTGCAAGCTGCGCTGGCTGACAGGGTGGCTGTTCCTCCGGCAGATCTGTTGTGTGTATGTTGCGTGCCCGTGCTACTGGAGCGACGCTGCCACGTCCAACTCAGCTCCAACTTACGTCCCCTCCTTCAGCAGAAATAGCCCCAAATGTTAGCAGGACTTAGGAAGCCAGGTCTGGAGCCGTGCCGATCCGGTCAGCTCGCGCTTCGCTTGCAGCAGGTGCTGTCAGACGCCTGGGGAGAGGAGGAACCTCTGAAATCAGGGAGGCCGCCTGAAACCAGGGAGGAGCAGCTCTTCTCACCGGTGACACCCGCTGCTGAGCTGGAAGTTCCTAAAGTTTCAAAGTTTTGGCCCTCCAGATATTAGGTTGGGCAAGTTAAAACTTCCCCAGGGGCAGCTTCCAGAGCTGTTAAAGAGGCTTAGTGCTAAATTGATTCTTGGGTTGCAGTAGAAGTTAAGGTGTAAAAAAAGGATTTTCTAACATAAATTCATCATTATCATCGTGTCAGTGGGGGAGTGGAAACCTGGGGTTTCTCAGGTTTCCCTATTACTTCCATTCTTCCCTTCCCATAAAAGAAACCTGTTTTCCTTGATTTGGAAGAAAAAGCCCAATAAGCAGAAAATCCTGATTTTTCCACTGTTGCAGACTTCCAGGCAGTCTCCTGGTCAATCGGGAGGGAAGTCCTCAGCTTTACAGGTCCTTACTTTGGTTACAACTCCCTGCGAGCTTTTCGGCGTCAACATTCCAAACACATCACCCACGATCACTTGGATGCAGCTGCCTTCCTTCCCGTTCGCCACTACTCGGGGCTTCCACAGCAGGTCTCATGGCACCAATGCCTGTGATAAGAGCTCCCATGTGTTTTCTAACAAATACTCCCCAAAATTATATAAATCTTATGTGCTGATGGGAATCGCTCAGATTTTCTTTCCTGAGTTTTGCTCTCTAGCAGCTTTTTTGCATTGACATTTTGCATGGCAAGAAGAGAAATAATAACTTTTTTTTTTTCCCTTAGATTGAAGCCTGCAATAAAGAAGCAGAAAAGATAGAGTCACTGATAAATTCGGACAGTCCCACATTAGCATCACACGTGCCACTGTCGGCTCTAATCGCATCTCAAGTACAAGTGTCCTTCAGCATTTCTTCTCCCTCTGTTAAAGCAGTGCCTGTTCTGCACTCCCTCTTCGGCAGCCTGTTACTCACCTGGTCAGCGTTCATGTATTACAAATAACTGCTTGGGCGGCGTGCGCGAGTAGCGCGGCCGTTCGCGTTGTGAAGGACGCTCAGAGCTGTTGGTCACTGAAGCGGAAAACAAACATTGTAGAAGATCTGGTGAACTAATCTTTTTCAATGAAGAACTAAAAGTATTTGGAATGATGTGAAAATATTGCTCTCTTATTCGTTACTAGTCAGATGACTGTTTCAGCACAATTAGATTGTTTTCCATTGATCTGGGAAACAGAAAAGTGCTCTGGAAGGTTCTGACGTTATGGATTGACGATTTTTGCAAGAAGGGATCTTACGGGGGGGGTTGGGCAATGGACAAAGCAGTGTTCTGAGTTTATTGAAGAATGTTACTTTTATGTTATGCAGATGCATATCAGTGACAACGAAAAGCATGCACCTATTTTAAACATCATTTTTGGAAGAAACAAATTGCTGCTACTTAATTACCTTACCAAAAATTTAAGAGTTTATTCTCATGTAAATACGCTTTCCTATTTTATTGTGAAGAAAACTAACTAGCCCTCGGCCTATTTCAGTAGACGTCTTTACTTGGACTAGTGAAGATTGGCAGGACGTGGGGCTCAATGCTTGTAAAATGACAATCAAGCTCTATACTAGTACCTGACTTCAATGAAGAAATCTGTTCTTTTTATAGTTTTGTACATTTCAGAATCTCATATTGGATGCAAAATTATAAAGAATCTCAGTATCTATATTTAAGTGCCATTTAAAATACTGCAGTATTTGCATGTTATCTAATGAAATTTATACTTTAAATGTTTATGCAAACAGTATGTTTTATTACTTATTGTATTTTATGCACCTGACCTTAGCCTACATGAAGTATTTTATATCAGTATTATGATAGCCAACTTTTGAAGTATATACAGATAAACTTATTTTTGCCAAAATGCTGAACTTTGAAAGAAAGCACTGAAAACTTTTTGAACATGTATGTTGTTGTAGCATGTTTGTAGCAATTATTTTCTGCTAAATCTTTTAAATGCAAAAGTATTAAAGCTTTTTATTTTAATAAAACACTTTGTCATGTGTTCCTTGTACACGAATGCATGTAATGGTACAGAATTCTGCAGAACAGCATGTTTTGCTCTCTCACAGCAACACCTTAACTGCAATGACACACGTTCCTGACTGACACACTTTAATGCTGACAAACAAAGTACACTTCGGGGGGGTGGGGCTGATTTTTATTTTTTTACCAAATCTGTCCCAGGCCGGTAAGTTTATGCTGTGTCAGACTCAGTGAACTATAGAAGACGGCTGTGGGTGCCTTGGGTAAGGTTACAGTCATCCTCCGCTTTGGTTTGGAAGAGGCTCCTCTCGCTGCAAGGCTCAGCCTCCTCCAGAGCAACCGGGGTGACTCTGGGCCAGCTGACGGAGAGAGTTCCTTCGAACCCTCCATCAGCTGCTGTTTGTTGTCTCTTGGTGAGGGAAGAGCACTTTCGTACGGGAAGCACAGCTGTACTCTGCAGTTTCTGAGTCCTTTTGGTGGGTGACTAAAATGCAGAGACTCTTTGGGAGTGTTCTGGCCAAATCGCTCCAGGAAGAGTCATGCACACCATCGTCCGAGTCTGGATGCAAAAACCTTGTTGAATATGTTGATAATTGTATGTGAATAATCTGTTTCTCAAGTTTCTTCTGTGGATTCTTTAGAAACTTGGAGAGAAGAGCGTAATGAATGCATTTGACAAGCTTTTTGATCTGAAAGGGCTTAGATGATCTCCTAGAAACTGCAAGCAATGGTTTATCGATTTCCTTATTTTTTCCAAATCATTAGCAAGTATCTTTTCAACACGGAGCCTGTTCGCTTGCCTAGCGTGTAGCTGAAGCAATCCAATGTCTACTAAAATGAATTATAAATGTCTTTAAAAAAAATAAAATATATATATACATTTATATATATGCCACACTGGAAAAATTAAAGAACTTAAAAAGAAACTTTTCGTGGAACAGAATATATAGTGGTATTTATTTTTACACCTGTGAAGGTTTTCTCCAATGAAAGATAATAACAAAAAGGTTGCTTCAGTTTGCCTGATGAATCTGGAAAAAGCAGCCTTTAAGCCCAGAGACTTTTGAATTCACACGTGAGTGTCCAGAAGAGAGTGCTTGCTAGAAGAGTGAAGATTTTGAGTGGTGATGTTAAACGTGCATAGAACCAATGAGATTTTGTGTAATCCTAAATTCTCAAACATAAGTCCAGCATCCGAAGTGTACAGGGCTTAAGTTCATTTTCTGGATGAACAAAAGTACTTGAATATTTTCTGGGTTTTCTTAAGACCTCGGACCACCTCAAAGGAACAAAGAAACTATTTACTTACAGGGTTTGACTTCAATGGAAGTAGGAGAAAAGATGGAAGAAACCCAGTCCAGTTTTACTTGCAGCTTACAGAAGTGAAACCTAATGGGGACAAATGTGGTACAGGTTTCAGGTGAGTTTTCCATATAAGTGCTAATGATGTTCTGTCACCATCTGTGTGGAAATCTGTGTTCACTGAAGAAGGAACGGAGACAGCACGAGGGCACTTCAAACCAGCACAAGCCTCTTTGTTTCTTGTCTGACAGGATCTGCTGCAAAAGCCAGAGAGACGCGGAGCTTAAAAACAAACAAATTCGCTTTGAGAAAGATGTTTCCAAGCCCTGGCAGGTTGGTTTGTCTCGAGTTATCGCACTGCAGTAAAAGGAGATGCATTAAGTAGAAACAGGATCATCGGATTGTCAAATAGTTTGGGTTGGAAGGGACCTTTAGAGGTCATTGTCCCTCTAGTAGTACCTCAGCTTTTGCTAACTAATGCCATGAAGCTGAAGGTTTCAGTCACTGTAGTTGAAGCTGTTCAATTCAATACAAATTCAATGCTCTCAGCACCTGCACCCTTGGAGCTGACTGTGTGTGACCAATGTGCTTCTGCAGCAAAGGGGATTACTCTGAAAATCGAGGAAACACCAATTGTCCAAAACCTTTCTTGATGTTGACGGGCTTTGTACGTGCGCTGCTGAATGGGAAAACGTACGTGCAGCTCCTCGCAATACAAGAAAGTGACTTTTTTACAGTGAGACCAATCAATCACTGGAACAACCTTCCCAGGGACATGGCAGAGCCCCCACAACTGGAAGTTTTCGAGATGCAACTGGACGCAGTTCTAGAACAAGCACTGAAGGGTTAGACCAGATGATTTTCTGCACTCCCTGCCAGCCTGGGCTGTTCTATGCTTCTATGATTAAAGAAATACTTTCAGTTGCAATACGTGGAAATTTTTTACTTGTTACATCATTTTCAGATCTTACCTGACGAACACTGTTGGGACTCATCATTATTTTTGAAATGACATAAAAAACTAGTATTTCCCACTTTAGACAGCCTTTTTCACAATATACACATAAAAGCCTGTAGAATAGATTTAAATACATTACACTGGTTTAAGTTTTTATTTAAATCATGAACAATAAAAATAGACTTCTGCATGCATACCCCAGCAACAGCTTTTATCATCAAATTCTTCATCTTCTACTTGAACTCCCCAGTGATATTAGGGGAGGAGGAAAAAAAAAATCAAACCTTTCCTTTAGTCCATTATTTTCAAACTACTGGCTACTGTTATTTAGAAACAGATTCGTGTATTTTAAGCACATCACTGTTACACAATCCTGTGCACTGACACCCCCCTTCTGCATTCTTCAGCAAGAACAAAGTTACGGTCAAAACTGTTCATGCTAAACGTTTTGGAGGAGACTTACCCAAAGGGCAACAGTAAAATGTTTAGAAAGTAAAAGCTCATGTAAAAGGGTGGGGTTTTCCCTTGCAGCTGCTACGACATAAAGGAGAAAAAACCCAAAGGATAGTCTTTCCTGGGGATGCAAAACCTCATGAAATAATGCAGTAGCCTTGTCACCACTTACATAAAGAAAGGCTGTTAAATTTTTCATGAGATGATCAGAACTGTGGTCTTCAACACAGACGGAAGAGCACAGTTGTGATTATTATGTATAGGTGTATGTAGCAGAGCTGTGAAGCCATGAAGGACTTCCCGATGTGTTCTGTCAACAGAGCCCTGTTAACCAGCTCTCAGTCCATCCTTAGAACAGAACAAAGCTGGTTTTCCCCCAAAGTGTTCTCTCATTTGCCTTCCTCAAAGCTGTTTTCTGCTTCATTGGGCCAGGTCCAGTAAAGTGAGGATCCCGAGCCAAAGGGTGTTGATGGGTCTGCGACTCTGAAGGCACTTAACAATCCTACGGATTCTTGCTGTAAAGAGCCACCCTGGTGTTTTGGCAAACGCTTTCTGTTTTAGTTGGCAAGGTTTCGCAGTTTACGTCATCGTGCTTGGATCTCTGCATCAGCTGCAATATATGCAAAGGTCTCCAATCTGGTTTTTTTCAGTTGTGATTCTCCTTCTACGCTAGCATTCCTCTGAAGCGCTTCTGGGCAACCCTGGAAGGTTAAATGATGTAATGAGCAGGTTAGGATATGCAGCAGAACAGCAGGTTTTCTTGCAAAACCTTCTCACCAGCACTAGTGTGGCAGGTTTCAAATTAAAGCCTTCAGCTCAGTGATCTACTATTCTGCACCATTCACTGACAGCAGAACGAGTGGGTGGGTTATTACTACTGTTGGGGGTGTATGTTTCTTTTTTAATCAATATTTTAGCTGCAGCAGCAGGAGTAACATCAGTAAATATATATAAAGATACAGTCACATGCACACCTATACACACAGCGGTATAAATGTGCACATGTGTGTCTGTCTCACAGTGTCCTGTCTCAGGCTCTCTATCAGCCTCTTCAGGAAGAGCACATTTGGCCGTTGCAGAGAATTAGGCAATCTTTTCAATAAAGAATCCAGATTTTGGGAGTTAGTACTTTGAAGTTTGGATTTCAAGTACAAATAGCAATCCAAGGTGCGGGACCAAACCGTTGGGCTCGTTACGTGATCCACACGTGGTGCTGTCCAGCTGCAAGTGTGCAAAAAGTTTCCAAAGCCATCTCGGGATTGCTGCATTCTGCTGTGCACCTGCAGCAGCAGCAGCAGCGCATTTTCCTCTGCAACAGGAGCAGCTTCCCAGTGCCAGCGCCAGCATGAGGCAGGAGCAGCCACGGACCGCCGACCACCAGCAGGAGTTCGGTTCCTCTGGCCCAGGAAAGTGAGTTTCGCCCTTCGGAGCCGTCGCTCCCACGCGGAACGCGCGCCAGG